TAGCCATCAAAGATGAATGGTTATGAAATTTTCGACTAGGTCATCTCAACTTCAATGCCATCAGAGAGCTAAATAGGAGAAATATGGCTTCAGGATTACCTGAAATCGACATTCCAAGTGAATTTTATGAAGAGTGTGTTCAGTCGAAACAACACAAGAATAACTTCAGTAAGGATGCAAGAAGGAAGTCGAAGGCAATTCTGGAAGTCATATGCTCTGATGTATGTAGTCCAATACAAGTGGATTCGATTGTAGGCAACATATACTTTGTCACGTTCATAGATGATTACAGTCAAAAGCTATGGACTTACCTCATTAAGAAGAAAAGTGATGTGATCGAGGTATTTTCCAGATTCAAATCTATGGTCAAAAGACAGAGTGGTCGAAAATTGAAAATTCTAAGGACTGATGGTGGTGGGGAGTATGTATCGAAAGAGTTCTATGCATTATGCAAAAAAGATTGGATTGTGCATGAGATGGTGCCACCCTACACTCCACAACAAAATGGAATTGCAGAAAGAAAGAACAGAACCATCATGAACATGGTGAGAAGTATGTTGAATGGAAATCATTTACCCAAAGAATTATGGGGAGAGGCGGTTTCGACAATAACATACACATTAAACAGATGTCTGACGAAGAAGCTTGAAGGAATCACACTAGAAGAATGTTGGTCTAGTGTCAAGCCTAGCCTCAATCATTTGAAGGTGTTTGGATCTATAACACAAAGACATGTTCCAGATCAGTTGAGAAGGAAACTTGATGATAAGTCGAATCAGATGATCTTGATGAGATATCATTCAACTGAAGGTTACAAGTTGTTCGACCCAGTGAATAAGCAAGTAGTGATCAGCAGGGATGTGATCATAGATGGGCTTAAAGAATGGGATTGGACTAAGAATGTCAAGAAGGATTCAGTGAGAATCTCTTGTGAAGAACCAGCCACTAAAGTTGAAAGTGAAGTTCGACAGGAACAAGTCAGAGATGAAGCTGGCCCAAGCAGACCTCGATGAACAAGATACATGACTGCAAGGTTGCAAGAATGTATGATTATATCAGATGATGTGGTCGATGAAGAAGGTGAGCTGGTACACTATGCTTTCTAGGCAGATGTCGAACCAGTCAATGCAGCTGAGGCATTGAAAGATTCGAAGTGGTCACTTGTCGATTTGCCTCAAGGCAAGAAGGAAATTGATGTGAAGTGGATTTACAAGGTGAATGTGAATCCTAAAGGAGAAGTAACTCAACACAAGGCGAGACTTGTGGCAAAAGGATTTCTTCACAAGGAAGGAATCGACTTCGACGAAGTTTTTGCACTTGTTGCTAGGATCAAAACAATTAGATTGGTTGTTGGTCTAGAAAATATGAACAATTGGCACACATGTTAGATGAACGTGAAGTGTGCATTTCTTAATGTACCCTTAGAAGAAGAAGTTTATGTTGCACAACCAGTTGGGTTTGTGAAACGAGGCGAAGAAAGAAAGGTGTACAAGCTGCATAAAGCCCTGTATGGACTTAAGCAAGCTCCAAGAGCTTGGAATAAGAAAATCGACAGCTTCTTAAGGGAGAAGAAATTTGTGAAGTGTACGAGTTAGCATGAAGTGTACATAAGAAGAGGCAATAGTGAACTGCTTATACTATGTCTCTATGTCGATGACCTGTTGATAACAGGAAGTTGCAAGAAAGAGATCGAAGACTTCAAACATAACTTAAGTGAGGAGTTTGAAATGCCAGACTTGGGAAATCTCTCATATTCCCTTGGCATCAAATTGTACAAAAGTAGTAGAGGTTTGATGATGCACCAAAAAAGATATGCAGGTGAAATACTCAAGAGATTTGAGATGCAAGATTGCAACCCAACTTTGACTCCAGCTGAGACCAGATTGTAACTTTCGAAGGATTTAGATGAAGATGATGTCGACCTAACCCAATATAGAAGACTTATTGGGTCACTTCGGTACCTTTGTCACACAAGGCCTGAATTAGCATACATTGTGGGTATGGTAAGTAGATTCATGCAGAAGCCAAAGGTATCACACCTAGCAGCGGCGAAGAGGATACTGAGGTATCTAAAAGGGACTTTCGACTATGTCATTTTGTTTCCTACAACTGATGAAGGAAAAGAATGCAAGTTAGTGGGATACATCGACTCTAGTTGGTGTAGTGATGCTGAAGATAGAAAATCCACAGTTGGCTATGTGTTTATGCTAGGTGGTGCACCAATTGCTTGGAGTTCAAGAAAGGATTCAGTAGTCGCATTGTCATCATGTGAAGTAAAACATATAGTTGCTTTTCTTTGTGCATCTCAAGCAATTTGGATGGTGAACCTGGTACAAGAGATCACATTGAAGAGTCATAGAGAAATTACCATGAAGATCGACATCATATCAGCTATCAACTTGGCGAAGAATCTAATAGCACACGGTCGAAGCAAACACATCGAAATGAGGTTCCATTATCTTTGAGAGCAGGTAGCTGAAGGAAAGATGAACTTGGAACACTGTAGAACTAAGAATCAGATTGCAGACATCATGACGAAGGGAGTGCCAGTCAAAATGTTCAAGAAGTTAAAGTCTATGATGAATGTTGATAGTTTAGACACAATAAATTAGGTGGTGTGTTAAATATGCAATTCATTGTTTTAGAAAGATTAGATTTGATTTAGAAAGATCATATTTGATTTATAAAGATTAGATTACACATTTTTGGGCTTTTATAGTTTGGGCTCTGGCTTGGGGTGTAAGCTAACCTAAATTTATAAATAGGGAGAAACCCTTATTTTGTAAACATCTCATCTCATCTCATCATACTTTGTAATTCACAGTTTGCAGTTGTAAGTGAAATAACAGAATTTTCACAGTTTATGGGCAAAGAGTTCTCTGCAGAAAATTGTTCATCATCTTCTTCTTCTCCAATGTTTACTTTCTTTCTTTCTTTCTAAACTTTTCTTTCATTGTTGTTACGTGAGATGAAACAATCTTGAAATCAAGATTGATTGAGTGAAATTCTCCATAGGTTGTGGTTGAATTTCCAACAAACTTTAGTAATATCAATACTAATGGGAGCAACCTCCCTCACTTCAGTAATGATCATTTATGGGTTTCTAACCTCAACATGCTCCCTAACCTCAACAATGTGAACTTTAGGTACCTTCTAAAGACGAGACCACTAGGCTTAATGGGTTTTCACTTCAGTATGAGACAAAGCATCAATGATTTAATCACCGCTACTTAAATATTGAATTAAATATTTTGGTTTTCTACTTTGACCATGTCTAAAATGAGAATGCAAATAAGTAAAAGGGAAAAGTGAGAGATTGATACCTTGGATATTTATGCAGGTTTCGAAAACTTACTAATGAAGCAACAAGAAGCAAATCGCTAGAAACCTAGAAAGTAGCAGGCTCGTAAGGATGAAGATCAACAACTAAGTAAAAAGAATGTAAATACATAAAGGTTGCACTGAGTATAAATGTCATCGCAAGAAGACGAAGCAGATATATAATCTAAAAGAAAGAGAAGACGAAAAAGAAAAACCAAATTTGTTTTTCTAATTTATAAGCAACGAGAGCGCCAAGATTAATGTTTGACAATCGAAAAAACACCAAATGTCACGATTAACAGTCCAGACGAGACATCAATTTTGCAACGACACTCGAGTACACTTAAGTACTCTAAAAGCATTACATCCTTACCTTAAACACGTAAAGCCACATGGAAGCTTCCTCTATGTTTATGTGATATAATGAGCATTTAATGCAAATATTCCCAATGCCACCAAATCCCAAAACTCAATTGTTGCATCTACATGTAACAAGTTGAATATGTGATAAATATGCACTACTTATGTTAAATATTTTTAATTTATTAATATTAGTATAGTTTTTTATTTTTAAAAACATTAAATGGAAATTTAAAATTTTTAATAAAACAATTGTAAAATAGTAACCAATATTTTGGTGGAAATTCTATAATTCTAACTCAACATTGAAAACATAATTTTTTATTGCTTGTTACAATTAAAATCTAAATTATCAAAACCATTTCCCAAAAAAAAAAAGAGAGAGTTTAAAAAAAAATAGAGAAGAAATTATTTGTTTCTTAACTCCATTCATACCGAAAGTCAAAATTGGTATAAAACATCTTCCCATTCTGAAATGCAGAAGAAACAGAATAACGAAAAATCCTCTCACAATCTTTCTCAGATACTGAAAATAGAACTCAACTGTCGGATCAAACCTCCATTTGTCAGTCTTCATCTCTCTCTGCAACAATATATCTGCACTCTGCAAAACACAGATTCATCCAAAACAAACAACAAACACAAAAACAGAAAAATCAAACTCAACTTTTTTAGTATTTCTTTCAAAATACACACACCAAAAGACAAATTTGAATACTAAAAAAATAATACCATTATTATACTCTACTATACTAGTACTAGTACTGTGAAACTGGTGCTCTAGATAGATAGACTTTAGTAGTAGATGCTGCTATAGCAGTAAACTTAATTATTATTTTGTTACAAACCCCATGCTGTTTGTTTTCTGCTACTATTTCCCTGGAGAGTGGTATTTCCCAAGCAAAAGCACAAAGACAAATACCGCAGGTTCTTTCATCTCTCACTATCCTTTTCATTTTTTTATTGTTTTTTTCTCTCTCAACTGTCTTGTCTCACTGTCTTTTCTCAAGTGCTCGAACCCTTCCCCACTCCCTTCAAAGACAAATTTTGCAGGCTTTTCTGTCAGAACCCCCTCTCTCTCTCTCTCAAAAAATAAATAAGTAAGAAATAAGGGGTGCCAAAACAAAATTTTAGAGGTATCTGTGAAAGATATGATATAAAGGAAGGTGTAGAAAAAGCTTTTTACAGTACTTGGTTTTTACACGTCCAATACAAACACTGTCACCTAACCGAGTTAATTTCCTACACACACTATTTATCAAAAGTAACACCAAACACAAACTCTCTCTCTCTCTCTCTCTCTCTCTCTCTCTCTCTCCATGGACTTTCATCTGAAACAATGGAGAAGCCAGCATGAGTCAGAAGAACAACAACATTCTACAAAGATGCCAAAACTTGCTCTTCAGCATGCAGAATCTCATCATCAACAACAATCTTCTGTTACTCCTGCAGCTGCACTTCCTTTCTTTGTACCTCAACCTAAAGTTGCCACCAACTTGTCAGATTCCACATTATCGCCTTCTTCCAACAGATCATTTCCTAGTAAGCAAGTTTCTCTTAGAGTTAACTTAACGCGTTAGTTACTCCATTTCAAGTTTTCTTTCTAAGTTACTACTTTTCTTCTTACTTTTTTTTCTTCACTTTATTAGGAATGGGAAGCCATTTTAGCTTGTCTCAGTGGCAAGAACTTGAGTTACAGGCTTTGATATTCAGGTACATGTTGGTTGGTGCTTCTGTTCCTCCTGAACTTCTTCAACCTATCAAGAAAAGTCTTCTTCATTCATCTCCTTATTTTCTTCATCACCCTCTTCAACACTATCCACCTACAGCTTGTAAGTTTCATACTACTATAACTTCTCTCTCAAATCTTTACACGATTTTCCATATCACATACTTCAAAACAAAACAAAACAAAACAAAACTGTTTTTTTAGTGTTTTGTGATATCATTGAATATGTTTTTTTTTGTTTGTATTAGTGTTGCAAACGGGGTATTGGGGAAGAGGAGCAATGGATCCAGAACCCGGCCGTTGTCGGAGAACCGACGGCAAAAAGTGGCGGTGCTCGAGGGATGTGGTGGCAGGACAAAAGTACTGTGAAAGACACATGCATCGTGGTAGAAACCGTTCAAGAAAGCCTGTGGAACTTCCCACACCAACCAGTACCGGTGCTGGTAGTGCATCTTTCAATGCTTCTTCCACTATTTCTTCACAGCCTCTTGTTACTTCCTCAATGAAATCTTCTTTCAATCTTCTTCACCTTAATCAACGGTAATCATCTTCTCTTCTCTCTCTTTACTCAAATAATGATTAGTTTATCCTAATGAGTAATTAATCACTAGAGTGAGTGATTATTATTTGTGTGTGAGCATCATTTAATTTAGTGGGGCATGATTGGATTGAAAAGATTGTTATTTTCTTTGTTTTTAAGATGGTTTCATTGACCTACAAAAAGCAAGTTTGAATGTGATGCATAACAAATATGAAAGGAGATATATTAGCATTGTGACAAGACTTATGACTGATACCTAACTAGGATACGGATCCCTAATGAGGGAGCATGGCCAATATGTCTCATGCTTTGCAAATAATGTAACTTTGGATTGGCACAAATAATCCCCAACCGTTTCTTTCTAAAACTATATTTGGAAAATCATCAATCATGCCATCCATTTGTTTTATGGCCACTATTAAGAGTTCAATGTCCTACAAAGTAATAACTATGTGGGTCATGATTCACCCTACAAATTGGTGGTTTTGTATCCTTAAGTACAAAGCGCAAATGTTTGTATCTAGTAAGATTTTAACATGAGATCTTGAGAGAGATACACTCAGACGTCTCAAGTCTTATCCGATCCAATATTAAAACTTTCAACCACACTCTAACGGTGAAAGTCCTTTATTAAAGAGTTGAGTGAGATAAAATTTTGTTTATTATGAGTTCTTTGGAGACTTTTTTATGATAAGATGTACTTGTTTGATATTAATGATGTCTCATAATTGGGCCATGTGTAGTTCATCTGGGACCAATAATGAAGAGAAAAGATTATTTGAAAACGAAGATCATGTGGGTGGGGATGGAAGATCAGGTGGGCAAATGCTAAGGCATTTCTTCGACGATTGGCCGAGATCACTGCAAGAGTCTGACAACGGTGGGTCATCCTCCACATGTCTTTCAATATCAATGCCAGGAAATAATAACACCAACAACACCACTTCATCTTCAGATGTGTCATTGAAATTGTCTACCGGTTATGGTGAAGAACCATGTCCTATAAATGTGAATGTGGGCCTAGAAACTGAGCAACAACAACAGCAACAACAAATTCAATTGAATTGGGTTGGAGGATGGAATTCAGGTAATCAAGTGAGTTCTTCAATGGGAGGACCACTTGCGGAAGCTCTTAGATCATCATCTACTTCAACTTCTTCACCTACTAGTGTTTTACATCAATTGCCACGTTCTTCTGCTTCTGAGACCAGCTACATTAGTACCTAAGTTTAGTGGTTGGTGCTTTTTATTGACTTGTGTTGTTTTTTTTGGGGGGAATTGTTGGACCACCAAACACGTTTTGTATCAATGTTATGACATATGTTTGTTGTTGACATGTTGTTGGGAAAGAAAGGGATCATTGATTCATCAATATTTTCATTATCTTTGATAATCTCTTTGAGTTTCATTCTAATGTCATAAGATGCATTTTGTCGCATCAAAACTTCGTTTCATGAATCCGACAATTTTTTTGGTTTGTTATTATGACAATGACGTGACTAAAATAAATACACGTTACATTGAACTAGTTTGATATATTTAGATTTAAATGTAGTTCTGAGATTTAAATTTAGTTTTGATCGTTCAAGTTTTTCAAATTTTGACTAGATTTTATTGGTGTCCCAAAACAAATAATGTCACATGTTTAAAACCCATAACGCACATTCGAAAATTTTTTAATTTTGATTATTCATTATACTACTCTCCTTCACTAGTCTCTCATCATATTCTTCACCATTATTTTTGTGTCACTATCAAACAATAAATTTAGGAACATCTAATTATCAATACATTGAATTTGGTGTGGACATGAGGTTGACCTCAGATTTGTTTGTTTAAATAAGGTGAGTTTCGACAAATGGTAAATATTTGATGCTTTGTTTGTTTAGATAAGATGGCGAGTTTCGACAAATGATAAATATTTGATGCTTGCTACGATGTTCGTACATTGATTTGCCGTTTGTCTATATTCTTTTATAGGTGGATTTTAAGATTTTTTGGAAAGTTTCACCCTTTTAAAAGTGTACAAGTGAGATGCTGCGAGTTCGAACTCGAGTCTCTGCATTCAATGTCCCTACACAACTACCAACCGAGTTGACTTTATGGGACAAGTTTGAATGTTTTATTTGTTCTCAATCTAATGATCTTGCTTAAATCACTCATCTTGATTAGGTGTTTCCTTAGATCACAACTTTGTGTATTTCTAAGTTCCCACAATCCACTTCTTAAGGAGGCGTTATTCTTCATTTATATTGATATCGTGATCTCGAACTAACGTTCCATGAGGTTGTGGATAGAATCGAGCCTTCCTTTTTATCATGGACCCATACTATTATTGGACCGTTGTAAACACGTTCGTCAACCAGGTGGGAACAATAACCCCTAAGCATGGTTAGGTGAAGTCAGAGTACTGGCTTGTAATCTCGGTCATTTTTAGAGGTTGTCTTTTGGACTATTTTAGTAGATGTTTCATTCATCATTAATCTATCTCATTGTTCTTGATCTTTGGTATTCTTTTTTTCCCTCCTAACAAGAAATAATGACTCATTTGGATCTATCGTCTTCGTTATTTGTCACACATCATGTATGAAGGATAATGTGATGGCATATTAATAAGCATAATATGATAATGTCACATTTGTTTATTGGTCGATACGTGACACTTATGATTCACTAAAGTCATTGTGTTTTTCGAATCTAAAGACTTATCTACTATAGATTTAGATACTGTATTTGATAAATTGCAATAACACGAGATTGAACTAAATTGTATTGTTGAATGCGAATAAAACGAAAGAAAAAGAAAATATTTGCACTTAGAGCTAAATACGTCAAAGACAAGAAGTCAAAAATAGAAAGCTACCAAAATAAAAGTGACGAGGACATGAATCTTCTAATTCACAAATTCAAAAAGTTCATAAGACATATAAAACAATCTCAATACATTCAGCATAAAAATGAAGAACGATCATTCTTTGTCCCAACATGCTTCATGTACGAAAAGAGCTGCCAGCATGTCATTCAAACATTGAATACCTTTTGTTGCTTCTTGAGGCCATCATTTTGACCACATCCTAACATTTGTATAGGTTAACCTTTATCCCTCTTTAAGTGGTAGTATCCAAGAAACTTCTTGGATCTTACCTCAAAAGTATATTTTTCAAGGTTTAGCTATGTCATATTTTTGGACTTCTCCGAACATGGACTTTGAATGGGCGGTATGGTCTTCTCGTGCCTTGGAATTTAAGATCATACCATTCATATAAACTTTTAACATATACCCTATTTGATCCTTGAAGACCATGTTCGTCATCCTCTAGTATGTTGGACATGCGTTTTTAAGGCCAATTGAATTACTTTATAACAAAAATTTCATGTATATGTCATGAATATTGGTTTGAAGCAGTCAAGGGGTGTATTGAGATTTGGTTATATCTAGACTGTGCATTCGTGAAAGATAGAATATTGAACCTGTTGGAATAAAATTGGTTGATAGCATATCAATTAGGTTTTGAAGATAACAATGTATTTAAAGAATAATTGAGTATTCTAATATCTGTTCAAGTATGCAGGATCATATCATTAAGAACAAATGAAGAAATGCTTCAGGAATCTAAATCTGAATATCAGACTATGCCTCTAAAGATCACTTATGAAGATTCTACCTCTGATGAAGACCCAGATTTTAAAGACCTGAAGAAAATCAGCCTTTGGTGATCCAGACTCTAAAGCTTCAGAAGCCAAGAAGAGGACTTTGATGTGATCAGTATCTAAAGAGTGAAGTCTGAAGGAAAGTCAACCTATGAAGAAAAATCTCTTCAACCAAGGAAACTATGACAGACTCAGAGACTTTTTTGTGAGGGCAAACCCTCATATAACATACATACTTGAGTTTCGATGATGACAAAACGCAATCATGGATGAATAGTTTTTTTCTCGACTCTACTTCTACAAGACGAATGCAATACTTCACCTCTCATATCCTTCTTATATCCATCTAACTTGTCATATTAAATCCAATATATATGGAAGATCATTTGTTACATATAGATGCATAAAAACCACAAAGATATGCATTTTTGCAGATTTGCAGGTTTTGAGTCGACCACAGGTCGACGCATGGAGTAATTCAATTTCCCACTGGTCGACGCACGCTGACCTATGGTCGACCACAGGCCGGCGCATGGAGTAGTGCAATTTCCCATTGGTCGACGCATACTGTGAAGATTTTCAAACATGCCTAAAACCGCAGGCTATGCATCGACGCATAGTCCTGATATGGTCGACCATTCGCTCGTTTATGCTGTTGCTGAAGTCTTTCCACTTTGGTTAAAAAGTTGTTAAGTCTATTGGTCTTTGGTTACTATATATAGATGTTTTATGTTCATTTGATTATAACAATTGAAATTTTGAGTCAATTGCAACCAAACAAAAAAAGTGAAATAGGTGCCATCAAATCTCTTCATCTTCATTCTCAACAGCTCACAACACAACAATCACACACAACAATTCTTGGTGTGCTTTGTGGTTTGTTCAAGGTGATAAGGTCCGAAGCCGTTGATCGGAAATCCGGTTCGGGTGGAGACTTGAGGCAGGTTTTTCTTGAATAAAACCTTGAAGGTTTTATCCTCCAAGATTCGGAGAATTTGGGGTTTTTTTGATACGAATCGTCTCTACCAACTTTCAGATGAGCGAAGGTGATTGAGAAACGACAGGTTTCGTCAATCTAGTAGCGGGAGTAAGTGAAGTGTGGAAGAGAGTTTCGGGTTCGATTTGTTGGTGTTTTTAGATCAGCTGGGCCGAGGGTTTGAAGAACAGAAGGTTGTTCAACAAAGGTGCTGGAATCGGAGGTCTACCCATAACAATCGAAGGTCTTGATTCGACTCGAATCAATGAACAAAAAGCGATAGCATCATCAACATCAAGATGGCTTGTTTGTATATTGTGCTTATCGATTCTTGTATAAACATTTCAACTCTACAGGTGATATCTATTATATTGATCTCAATTCTATTATTAGAATTGAGGGCAGACGTACCCCGAAGCGAGGACGGCGGGGGAACTGCCTCAACAAATCTTTGTCTCCTTTATTTTTCAGCACTTTCATTTTTGCCTTAAAATTAAGTGATTTTAGTATAAGCAATTCTATCGAAATTAGTGTTGAATTGAGTAAGTGCTTATCACTGTTTTGAACTCCAGTACAATAATATATTGTACAAGGAATTTAGAGTTACTTACTCAAGTCAAAGCTCACTTGGAGTGTCTCGCACACCAAGTGTTTGATAAATTGCCTACACCAAAGTTCACTTGGGTTATTTGCATATTTTGTGGGCATTATGGAGCATTGGAACTAGTCCTACTAATTAGTGGTAAAATCAATTGATAGTGTGACTAGTGTGTTGAATCTATTTTGCTCATTATCTTAATCCATAGGCTAGACGCATATCCGGTCTTCTAATAACGGTTCGTTATAGACGATAATTTTCCACGGTCGCTTCCGCATTTAAAACAATATTTTTAAACCATTTTTTTTATAAGCAGCGACTGATTTTTTAATTGGGATCTATTCAACCCCCCTTCTAGATCCGCGCCATCGTCTAACAAGTGGTATCAGGAGCACCGGTTTACTCCGTGCTTCAAATATAACTTTGATAGAAAATGGCTAACGAACCTAAAGGGGCCTATAATAGAGCTCCCGTTTTCAATGGTGAAAATTACAGTTATTGGAAGGACTGTATGCGGGTGCACATTAATTCCATAGATAGAAAAGTATGGAATGTTATTCTCATTGGTCCAATAGAAATCACTATGACCAATGCGAATAATGAGATAGTGCCTAAGCCCGAAGCACAATGGACTGATGATGATGAAAAGAAATATAACTATGATTGGAAAGCCAAGAATATTCTAATATCTTCATTAGGAGTAGATGAATATTATCGGGTTTCCCATTGTTTAACGGAAAAAGCCATGTGGGATTCATTGCAAGTCGCCCATGAGGGGACTAACAATGTTAAGCTTGCTAGAATCAACATACTAATGCAAGAGTTTGATCTCTTTTACATGGAGCAAGGGGAAACCATTGTGGACATCCAAAAGAGATTCACTCATCTCATCAATAGATTGCATTCACTTGGTAGACCGGTGGCCAATGATGTTGCTGCTAACAAAATTTTAAGATGTCTTAACAGGGAATGGCAGCCGAAGGTAACCACCATCAAAGAAGC